TTTTTTTATCAAATCGACTTTTTCTACAAGATTACGTCCTCCAGGGATATTAAGTTTACAAAAAAGGTTATCTAAATTAGGCAAAAGTAAGCGTAGGGCCAACAGTGTTGGAAAGATACGGCGACCGACAGGATAGCGTACAGTGATAAAACGCATTCAAGTGCCAGAAGCAAAAGCGCGTCTGAAGTAACAACTTTGTCACAATTGGCATTGGAATGAAAAGACCCACACTGTCGCGAATCAATAAAATAGGGTCAAAAATGAAGAATGGCATAGCTCATTCACTTTGGAGATGGTAGCGGCGGCAACGGCGTCGGCAGTAGTATTGGTGGTCGCATCCGCAGTAGAAGTAAAAACGGTAGTTAATGCTTTGGCTGGCGAGTTGACTGAATTGCCCTCACTCCGGGTAAGAGGCGTCTGGAGAAGGGCCAACATGTACCGGTCTAGGGGTCACTGCGAGCCCAAGGAATTGACCCAAGTTTGTTAGAAAGGCTGCCAGCACCAGCACCTTGCTGCTGAACGTTGTTGGTCATTGAGGCGAACTTGACGGGAAAGTGACTCCCCCTCGACTCTGATGCATCATCAGCCGGCCCTAAATCAACCGAACCCATGAACTCCATCTGCTCCTCCTTAGTAGGCAGACCAGGCGGTGCTCGGGGCGCAAAAAGGCCCGCGCCCGATGCATCATCTGACACTCCTGTTGATGACGATGGCGGCGGTGATGGTAAGGGAAGATCGGGCACGCACCAGACCCACTCTTCGCGACTGCTAAGAGACCAAGGGCAAGATCGAGTGCGCATGAACTCGGGTAGAAAGGCACGCAATTCGTCGTTTATGTGTGCGTATGCGAGCTGAAAAGAAGAATAAACAAAACGTGTAATTTATTTAAAGAGATGGATAGAGGTTATATCAGCGACAGTTTTGCTATCCTTAAAATCCCTTAAAGCGCATCCAAAATTCTGTAGTTCCCGAAAAATACTAAAAGAATTTAGTTTACTGTCTGCTCCTTTTGCTTTTGTTCCACCCACTGGCTCTTGTTATTTGGCATCGCTAATAAGCTAAGGTAT